CATCAAAGACAGTTCTGCCCTCGATTGAACAGTACTGGGAGGTGGATAGGACACGCCTCGCTAGGCCCTGTACTCGTTTCATCAAAATCTTTGCCAGGACCTTCCTGTCGACATTTAACAGGGATATGGGGCGCCAGTTCCCCACATCCGCTGTGTCGAGCACGTTCGGCTTGGACAGCAAGATCAGGGCAGAAGTCCTCATCGAGGGTGGCAATAATCCTTGAGTCAAGCTCTCATTAAACACCTCGGTCAGATGAGGGGCCAAGAGGTCGCAGAACTGTTGGTAAAACTCGGCCGTCAGACCATCAGGACCTGGCGACTTACACTTGTTCTGCTGTTGGATACTCTCTGTGACCTCTTCTATGGTGATCTCGCTGACCAACTCGTCAAAGGAGAGGTCGCTATGCTCAGGGAGCGTGAGCTCGCTCAAGAAGTCATCCACCCTTCTCCCGTGGGAGGTTCCCTCCTCGCTACATTGGGGGCTGCCCTTTCCGAGGAGCTCAATATAGTAGTCGCGGACCACCTTCAGAATCCCGCGAGGAGACTCCTCTAGGGTCCCGTCGGTGCCCCGCAAACTAGGGATGGACTTGGTACCTTCCTTCCGCTTGCAGCTAAGATAAGGATCGGGCGAGCGGTATGACCCATGATCCCTCTCTTTTACAAGGGAGGCGTACCTGTCATACTGATAACTCCTCATCAGGTTTTTAACTGCCGCAATGTCCTCGGGGTCACCTCCCTGCGAGATCAGGATGTCTAACCTCCCAAGCAAGCCCAGATACATCTTGTACCTGGAGGACTGCATGTTCCGGGCGAGATTGCGAAACAGCCGTTGAGTTCTGGCCTTCACCATCTCCCACTACTCAGACTTCGTTTGGCCTAAGTCGGCCAATGTCATCTGATCGTGAAAGAATTCCATGAAGGCTTGCTGAACCCTCTGTTCCACCAGGAGGTCTGAATTTAGCCGCCAGATCCCTCTACCCTTAGGTGGGGTACTATAGACGTTCAACTCGCAAGACAAAATGTGATGGTCGGAGAACTCCACCGGTGTAAGCATGGGTGCCGCCATCGGGAAATTCTCCTTAAAGAAAAACCTATCTATCCTACTCTGACAGCTATCTCTGTGATAAGTGTACCCACCCGTGGGATTGGGAGTGTGATGAAGGTACACATCGACCAATCCAGCCTGACTAACCATCTTATTTAAAAAATAGGAGTCATACCCCAGCCTCTGAGTAGCGTCTCTCCTGTCTTGAGGCCTAGTTATGGTGTTAAAGTCACCGCCAAACAGGATTTGCTGGGATGTATAAAGGTAAGGCTCTATCTCAATAAACAGGCGCTTCCTCTCCCACTTAGATTGGGGGCCATAGATATTAATTATCCTGAAAGGTTGCCTGCCCATTGAGACATCTAAAACCACACACCGTCCTTTTTGCAACTCAATAACCCTGTTGATGCTAACATCAAAGTCCTTAAATAGGATGGCGATTCCCCCATATCTCTCTGTGGCTAGAGAGAAGTAGGAGGGCCCCCATCTCCAGTCCCGCTTTGCAGCGTGCAGGGCCGCGAGGGTTTCCAGCCGGGTCTCCTGTACCAAGATGACATTGTACGGAGCCCGGCTGAGGTGGTCGTAAACCAAAAAGCGGGCCCTGCTGGATTTAATGCTGTTTACATTCACCGTAGCCACAGAGAGTACAGGAAAAGTCGCCATAAGGGCATTAAGTATAAGGAGACTTTCCCTTCCTTCTGCGGTACCTCTCCTCCTCCGTGTCGGAACCGAGGAACCTCTTCACTGAGACTCCGGGATACAGTGGCCCGTCGTCTCTCAGAAGCACCTCCTGTCCCACCTCAACCCCTGCCACCACTCCGGGGAGGTTCGCCATCTCCTCCTCGTACTCACAGTCGGCCCAGCTGGAGGACAGTGCCTCGTACCTGTTAGATACGGGCACCGGGGCCTCCTGCAAGCCCGAAGAGGAGGATGACGCCTGTGCCACACCACCCTTATAAGTGGCGTCTCCCCCTTTCGGGGGTTTCGCCGCAGGGGGTATGGCGATCTTCAGGGGTGAGGGCAGCGTCGAGGTCTTGGAGGGGGGGGGTTTCTTACCTTTCACCGTGCTCCACTCTAGGGACTGTGCATCTAAGGGACGTGCATCTGGGGACTTTTCAGTGGGGGTAACCTTCACCGTGGAGAATTTAGGAGGGGGGGGCCTAGGGGAGGGGGTCTAGGGGGAGCCATAATGGCTGTGGAGGTAGTGCGTTCTCTACGTACACTTTTCGTGAGGGGACGTGAACTTGTGGCCTTCCCAGGGTCCTGAGATGTTACAGAGACCGAGGGGAGGATGGGCTGTTGCTGGGGCAGGGAAACCCTTGTGCCAGAGATGGGCCTTGTAGATGACGATGCTACCTGAACCCCTAACCCAGCAGAGTCCATCTCCACCGGCTCCTGACTCCAGATGGACTCTACATTGTGCTGGGCTTCGGGGCAGGTGTGGTACGTGTGACCCATCTCTGAACACAGATGACACCGGATCTCCCTGCAGCTGTCCCGGAGGTGCCCCACAGCGCCGCACATAGTGCATTTGAGGACCATACAGGCATTGCTGTAATGCCTGTACGATCCGCACTTGTGACATACCCTGGGCTGACCAGGGTAAAAACAGGATACCCGGTCAGCCCCGATGAAAAAACTATTAGGCATATGCTGTGTGACACCTCGAATCTCCCGCAGCAACACTGAAACAGTCCATCCGCCTGTCCAAATCCCATCCTCATCTAAGATCTTAACAGGGGGGATTTAACATCCCCAAACCTCTTAGTCCAAACAAGGATGTCTGCTATGGGGATGGATTCATTTCTCACCAGGAAAGTGACCTTCTTAAGACCCTGGCGAGAAATGGCCACAGCGGTGAATCCTGCCCACTTTGTACCCTGTGCAGACCTGGCCGCTTCCCACCCAGCCCAGAAGCGATCCAGGAGCTGCGACGTCATAAAGGAGACGTTGAACTCTCGGGTGCCCGAGGCATGGATGAGCGCGTACAGGTCCACGGGCGCAAATCCCATATCCTTTAGCCGGGTCACCAGCCACCGTCTGTCAGGCACCTGGGTCTCACCCCCACAGATGAGCCGTACCACGTTCCTCCTGTTCCCAAAGGAAACCTGAGGACGTGTAGCAGGCCCGTCCGCAGAGAGGCGAGGTGGCCCAGATGCCCAAGCATTGGGCCCACCGGGACCCGCCGTCTGGGAATGATTCGGACGGACTCCCCTCGCTGAACCAGAGGCCTCGGTCACACCAGAACCCTGGGTGACAACCTGGGAGTGCCTAAGGGGAACCCGTGTACCTGCTTGTGCGTCTAAACTATTTATAACCGCAGCACCCTTTGTCAGGGTGCCTGTGCCCGTGCTCGTGCCCGCCACCTGTGTACCAACTAACTCCAGTGAACCAGGGGCAGGGGCAACATAACCTGAGGCGGGGGCAACATAACCAGGGGCAGGGGAAACAGTACCAGGGGCAGGGGCAATAGTCCTGGGGGCAGGGGCAATAGTACCGGGGGCGGGGGCAACATAACCAGAGGCAGGGGCAACAACACCAGGGGCAGGGGCAACACCACCAGGGGCAATAGTACCAGGGGCAGGGGCAACAACACCAGGGGCAGGGGTAACAACACCAGGGGCAGGGGCAACAACACCAGGGGCAGGGGCAACAACACCAGGGGCAGGGGCAACAACACCAGGGGCAGGGGCAACATCATTAATACAAACAGGCTGGCTGTGGACCTTTTTACTAAGGCCAATAGGTCCCATCATTACATTTACATCCATACTCCCATCCTCCTCAGCCATCCCTAAACCACCAGTGGAGTCAAACACAATGTTAGTCATACTTTTCTTACCTCCGCTGGCGGTTTCCTCAGTATGGACTGCTGGCTGAGGATGATGGGAGTCCCCTGCAGTCCTGTCTTCCATAGCGCCAGCGGCACCCGCGGCACCAGGAACAACAGGAACAACAGGAACAACAGGGGGACTGGTTACACATGCAGACATAAGGGGAACACATAGGGAAGCAGGGGGAACAGACTGGAAGACAAACTTGGACACATCCAGGGAAACAGACTGGGGGACAAACAGGGGAGGAGACTTGCTGGTAGGGGAGAGCAGTCAAGCTTGCTCCAAGGGAGCAGAGGAAAAAGGAGGGCCATCACCCTGCTCCAGACTGCTCCATCCAGTGCCATCCTGCCCAGCAGCCACCTGAGGACAGGAGGCAGAGGTACCAGCCACACGGAGAGGAAGGTCAGAGGGAAGGCAGGTAAGGGAGGGAGTGGGAAGGGAGCAAGGGAAGGACCCCTCCATGGGATCACCGGTACACGCCATAGTACCGGCGGGGATGGTCTCCCTGTCACCATGGAGGGCGGCGGGGGGCCCAGATACTTCCACAGAGGCAGGTTGTGCAGGTTTCTTGGGCATACAGGTGTTGCCACCTGCAGGGTTAGTATCCCTGGCCCCAGGCTTCTGCAAGGCCTGAACATCATCATTGTACATATACTCAGCATTTGAGCACTCACCCTCCTCTGTGGAATCTCCAGACCCCCTGACAGAGGTCTCAGGCTGACGCCGGGCGATGTTTTTCTTTTTCTTCTTTTTCTTCTTTTTCTTCTTTTTGTCCTTTACGGAGTCCTCCCCAAGTTCGTTTCCAAACTTGAGGAGAGACTCCTTAATCAGCCCTCGACCTCTGTCCTGCACTTTCAGCTGCCACTCTTCACCTTTCTCTCTGTCCCACTCCTCTTCACTGTCCTTCTCTCTGGCCTTCCCCTCCGTCTCAGCAGCGCCCCCTGGAGTAGCAAGGGCAGAGGTAGACGGCTCCCCAGGTGAGTGATGGGAGTTGGAATCCAAGTCCTTGCTGGACTCCTCACCTGGGGACATGTCCCTCCTGCCCTTCATAGCCCTCTGCCTCCTGGACCTCGCAGCGTCCTTGGCTCTCTGTTGCAGGATGGCCTGGATGTCTGCTATTTTCTTTTCAGTCTGGAGCAGGGTGTAGGATAGATGCTGCTCCACTAATTTTTTTCTCAGCTATAGCTGCCCTCAAAGGACCTCTTTTGTAATTAGAGGTCCTGTTTGATTTTTCCCTCTGCTCCCTTAGCTCTGCCTGGACCCCAGCTAGGCCCGAGTCTGCCTCGGCATGCTGGGCCTTCAGGGACACAAGCAGACCCCGGAGCCTGTCAGAAGGTAGCCCCATAAAGACCCTAGCCTCAACCCCCTCACCCTTTGCAGCCTCAGCATAGGTGAGGGAGGCCTGAGGGGTCTTGCTGGCACTAGCCACCTCAGGGGGGGTCTCAGGGACTACCTCCTCCTCGGTACCCTCTCCCACCTCCAGGGACGGGGGGGGGGCTGTTCTAGGAAGTGGAGGCCACTGCTGGCAAGTTCACGGCACTCAGCCAGCAGCCCAGAGAGCAGGTGGTGTGGGCCGTAGCTCCCTGGGGGACCCCCACTTCCCTTTTCCATGCTGTAAGCTTCCTAGACATCCCCCCCGCCAGTTCCTCCAACAGGGAGACCTGGTTTCGTATTTGCCGGGAGAGGGCCTGATGCTTAGTCCAAGACAGGCCCCTGGTATCCGCCTTACCTTCCCCAAAAGCCAGCACTGCCTGCAGCTCGTCCAGCCTGACCTTCCATCCCCAGGCTGGCGAGGAAGGCCCGAGGGCCATGCTTGCCTAGGCCCAGGCAGAGCCCCTTGCTGTAGTAATTCCAAAGCCCAGAAATCGAGCTCCAAAAGCAGCCACAAACGGGTGTGGTCCTGGTAACACACAGATGAAGCACAGAGCAGCTCCCTCTCCAGCAGTAATGGCAAACTCCTCCTACTCCAGTGGGAGGGGAGACAGTAAGCCCCACAACTGTGCAGATGGGACCATGGTCTCTGCACATACAGCACAGGGGGTAGGGATGATCGGTTCTGCCCCCCAGCGACAGGGCTGTTTAGCCAAAGGGGAGACAGTCGGTCTCCAGCAGCAGAGCTGTGTGTCCAAAGGGGAGACAGTCGGTCTCCAGCAGCAGGACTGTGTATCTAAAGGGGAGACAGTCGGTCTCCAGCAGCAGGACTGTGTATCTAAAGGGGAGACAGTCGGTCTCCAGCAGCAGAGCGGTGTATTTAAAGGGGAGACAGTCGGTCTCCCCCTCCAACAACCAGGCTTCAACCAGGCTACCCTCCCAGTAGCGCTGGCAACAGGGCAGAGTGCCGCTGGTCTCTGCCTGTGCAGCACCCCACCAAGTCAGCGTACCCGTACCCAGCACAGCCGTGGTGAGGCACCTGGACATGGACAAGCTTCTCCTCTACCCAGGTGCAGTAACCATTTATTGTGGGTGGGCTGTGCTGTTGATTATGTTTTGTGGGTGGGCTGCTGGACTAACAAGGGCACTGACCGGCAGGAGGTCAGATACCCTGTTAGTCTGTTTGGAAAAAGGGAGAGATGTGACGAGACCAATCTCGCCACATTGCATTGGAGAAGCCTGGTTGCTCGCCTGCTGCCTCTGGACTATGGCCCCCTTTTAAAAGACTTTATTTCGCCTGGAGAAAAGCTGTATTCGTGCTTTTCTGCCAGTTGTTCGGTAGATCCAATCTACCGAACAACCGCACGAATGAATAGACCACCTGGGAGCTGGAGTGTGCCGGCAATTAACCTCCCTGAAGCTGCGGTTAACCGCAGCTTAATTGACGAATGCTGGGTGGCCGCCATTCGTATCCCGAACACGAGGTTGCGGCCATTTTAAACATACGAATGCACAGCGGTGTTCGCCCCTATTTTCATGGAACTAAAATCGGACACAGTTTTGCACGAACACCGCTGAAGCCGCCGACCTCCCTTCTTGTTCGGTGGAAGTGCACGAACGGCCCGGTGTTCGGTAGTTCTGTTTGAATAGGTTATACCCCAGATAGGAATCCCATGGAGCCCATTCGTATGAAACTGACTGTAAAGACTTTAGCTCCATGGAGATTAAACTGTATTCGTGTGGTCTGAGTGCCATTCACCTAATAACGTGCACTCAGACCTGAGCTATCTGGGGATATGTTACATGTCTATGTTTTATGTAATAAATGTTACTTTATGTATTTTAAAGTATAATACTGGTTTTGTGTCCCCACATGTGTAATGGAGTTTTGCCTTTGTCTTGGGAGATAATTGAGTTACTTCTCAATTATCTCCCAGGGCAGAGGGGAGGAAGCCAGGATGCATTGTGGGAATATACTGTGACTATGTGTCCTATTTGTCTACTTGTCTGTCCCTTGTCACAGTCTCCCATTTGGTCCCTGTAACGGACCGTTTTGCTCACAAGGGGTAAAAACCGTTTAGGCGATCGGCCCCCTTTCCAGAGATGCAGGCACAGCTACTGCAGAACACCAAACTCCCGGACTGGATACAAAATAGCACTCCAACTCCTGAACTGGAACCTCCCAAATAGCTGCTAGCAGACGAACAGGAAAAGCAGACAATCAGCTTACACTCCTGGCAATCAGTCTCTAACAGCATACAGTGAATCCCCCCAAGAACGAGGCAAGGCTCTGTGTTGAGGGTCAAGCAGTGGTCTGATGTTTAATGGCACACACTCTGCTTTTATGAGATTCTGCCCATGCAAGGGAGACACCCACATAATTAGCAGTATAACCAATCGGAACAATATACATTCGGGGAAATTCCCATCCCTCAGATAATCACATAACATAATTAAAACAGAACAGTTTTTCCCCATACCCTGTAACTTTAAAACCATACATCCAATCTTCATAAAAATTACATATTTGGAATCAATCCATTCAGGGGAGCAACATATTAAAAAATGGCACAAATCAGACAAGGGGTTCAAAAGTTAGTAAAAAGTCCTTTGTGACTAAAGGAAGCATGGCTTTCTGGCCCAAACCAGTTTCAGAGTCTTCTATCCTGGAGATAAGTAATTCAATTATCTCCCAGGATAGACACAAGACTCCATTAAGCACATGGTTGCAAAAAGACACAAAACACTTTAAAATACATAAAGTCACATTTATTATATAAAACACAGACATGTAACATATCCCCAGATAGCTCAGGTCCGAGCGCACATTATTAAGCGAATGGCGCTCAGACCACACGAACACAGTTTAATCGCCATGGAGCCAAAGTCTTTACAGTCAGTTTCATACGAATGGGCTCCATGGGATTCCTATCTGGGGTATAACACATTCAAACAAATCTACCGAACCCCAGGCAGAAAAGCACGAATGAAGCTTTTCTGCAGGTAAAAAATATGTCTTTTAACAGGAGGCCATAGTCCAGAGGCAGCAGGCGAGCAACCAGGCTTCTCCAATGCAATGTGGCGAGATTGGTCTCGTCACAGTCCCCTAGGGGAGTGTCCACCAGGTGGGAGACCTGCATAAAAGCCGGGCAGGTAGCCTTCATTAAACAGACCACTGCTTGACCCTCAACACGGAGCCTTGTCTCGTCTTTGGGGGGATTTACTGTATGCTGCTAAGGACTGATTGCCAGGAGTGTAAGCCGCTTGGGAGCTTTTCCTGTTCGTCTGGTAGCAGCAATTCGTATGGTTCCTGTTCGTGTATTTGGAGTGCTACCTTATTCCCTTGTATGCCGTTCGGGAGTTTGGAGCATTCACTTGTATGCAGTTCGAGTGTTTGGACCATTCCCTTGTATGCAGTTCGAGTGTTTGGAGCATTCCCTTGTATGCCGTTCGGGAGTTTGGAGCATTCACTTGTATTCAGTTCGTGAGTTTTGGTGATTCTACAGTAGCTGTGCCTGTCTCTGAAAGGGGATTATCGTCGAAGCGTTTTTTTTCCCTTTTGTGCAAAATGGTCCGTTACACCGATCATCAACCAGGCCAAAACCACCACTTTCCTGTTCAAAGGCCACCCACTCACCCCATGCCTTACCATATCGAGCCCAAGTGGCAGCCGACATTGATGACCGGACTCGAGTCCTCACTCGTTCAGGCCAAGGAACCAGAGTTTTGCCGGGCAGTAGGAACCCTCCGCTTCTGTGTCCGGTGCGGCTGCCCGAAACGCCTGCCACTGTGAACGAGAAAGTTATTGTTACGGTACCTTCAGTAATAAATGTACAAACCGCCGTTTAGTGAATGCTCCCCGTTCGCAATAATGTTGTCTGGTAGCGTATGCAATACAACCATGCGAACCGCCAGCCAGGGAACACTCCAAACTCCTGAACGGTACCCGTACAGCTCCTTCCCTTCACGAGCCACAAGTTCACGAACTGCCAATATCAGCCGAACGCCAATATCTTCCAAGCGGCAAATAATTCCAAAGAGCAGTCTCTAGTCGCCTGTAATAAAATCCCCCCAATAACGAGACCAAGCTCCGCATTGAGGGTAAAACACGAACTGAGTTTACTGTGGGCTACCTGCCCGTATTTATGCAGGTCTCCCACTTGGTGGACACTCCCCTAGGGGACCAAATGGGAGACTGGAATAGCAGATGGACATGGGGACATTTCAGACATACAATCCCACAATATTCCCAGCATACATCACAGTTTCCTCCCCTCTGCTCGGGAGATAATTGAGAAGTAATTCAATTATCTCCCAGAGCAGAGGCAAATCGCCATTTTAAATACAAGTCACAAAACACATAAAAATGTATAACTTTATAACTGCCGAACATATTACATTCATGTAACACATCCCCAGATAGCCTGGATCTGAGTGCATATTATTGGCGAATAGCGCTCAGATCCCATACGCACAGTTCAATCGCCATGGAGTCAAAGTCTATTACAGTTCTTCGGTATGCAATTGACTCCATGGGAAGGCTATCTGGGGTATGTCCATTCGTGCCTTTACATCTCCCGAATGGCCAGTGTTCGCACACTTCTGTCGATTAAGAAGGGAGGTCGACGGCTTCAGCGGTGTTCGGTTGAAAAAGTGTCCGTTTTCAGTTCCATGAAATAACCGTCGAACACCGCTGGTCTTTCGCATGGTTAAAATGGCCACCGCCTCGTGGTCGACATATGAACGACGACCACCCTGTATTCGATTTTAATTGAGAAGTGTCTGTGGTTAACCGCAACGTTCTAATTGGGATCAATAGGTTAACCAGCAGCACACTTCTCTTCTGGGTGGCAGTTCCGTTCGACAGAAAAGTACATTCCCTTAAATAAGGCATACGAACGGGTAAATTCATGCAAACAGCAAAACAGACGAACACAGCAATCCTAGTTCATACGTATGGGTCTGTCACAGTTATGTTCTTAACACCCAGGATGTGCACAGCTCTACACATAATATTTAAGGACAAGCAGCACAAAACCAAATGCCTCAAAAGTCGCACCACTGGAGGGGAGGAAGCTGTCAAGTTCTTAATGGAAAAGACCACCCCCAGTTTATCGCAGTGGAACATGACCCGCTGATCCCGTAGAGAGGCACCCCATAGATGAACCACCACCACAATTCATAACAGCTCCAGGAATGCCAGGTTCCTAGTCAAACCCGCAGAATGCCAGGTCTCTGCACACCAGTGTGTACCCAGGATGGCCCCAAACCCCACTGACCCTGCCACATTAGTGAACAGATGGAGGTTGGACTTGGGAACCTCTGGCTGCTGCCAGTAGGACCTGCCATTATACCCATTGAGGAAAGCGCTCCACACCACCAAATCCTCTCGCAGTGGTCGGGTAAGGCCCACAAAGTAGAGCGGCCTCACGACCCCCGGTGCTGCCGCCGCCAAACGCCTATTAAAGACCCTGCCCATGGTTCAATTTACCCAGGAGTGACTGCAGCAACTAAATTTTTCGAAGGCCCCGCGCACCCTTGACCGCCACATGTTGATCTTCCACCTTGTCCACAGGTAATTGCTACTCCCCCACAATTGAATCAATCTCGATCCCGAGAAAGGTGAAACATGCTGTAGGGCCCATAGTCTTGTCCTGAGCCAGCTAGACCCCCGAAAGTGCATGCCACATCAGCTACTATCAATAGGAGCTGCGCGCACACCGGAGTATGGGCAGGACCAACGCACAGAAAATCAAGGTAATGAAGGATGGAGTCGCAACCGGACTCCTCCCTCACCACCCACTCCATAAATGAGCAAAGGCACTCAAAGTAGAAGCATGAAAGTGCACACCACATCAGGAGGCACCGGTCCACATAGTATTGCCCCTCAAAATTACAACCCAAGAGGTGATGACACTCCGGTGAACTGGAAGGTGACGAAACGCCGACTCCACGTCAGTTTTTGCCATCAACGCACCCGGGCCCGCCTCCCACACAAACCGCACCACCGCATCAAACAAAGCATAGTACACCCTACACAGCTCCGCTGCAATATCATTATTTACTGAATCTCCATGAGAATGCGATAAATGATGAATCCGTCTAAACTTTCCCGGTTCCTTTCTCAGAACCACACCCAGGGGTGAGACCCTGAGATGTGGAAGAGAAGGGAACCGCCAATGTGACCCAGCACCACTTCTTTAGCCAATTTGTCCTGCACCACCGCAAGGTGACCCCCCACCGATCGAAGGGTCTGACAAGAAGAAGGTGCTACCCTGTCCCGATGAGGGATCCAGAAGCCCTTACTAAAACCCTCCAGCAGCAACTTTGCCTCCCTCTAATTTCTATAAAGGTTTAGCCAAGGGCGCATCTTGTCTACATCCACCGGCATCCTCGTCCTTAGCGCCCAAGGCCTCCCTCTTGTCCCCAGACTTTCTCCACTTGAAGCAACGGGATGCGGGATGGGATCCCCGCATCCTGAACACTCATGCTTAAATCTACAACCCGCAACATACTTGCACTGGCTATCATTGTATTGCCAGCAACATCCCATCCTGCTCTGACCAGCCGACGTGGAGGGTGAAGCCCATGCGCCGGCTACCCCGAGAATGGACAAGAGGCCCCCTTGATGGGAAGCTGGGCGAGTCAGTATCACCAGCCAGAGCCCAATTTCCATTTGGTCCCACCCCGTGGATGGGCGAACCGCCAAACGCTGGCAGAGCTGCTTGTCATACCGCCACCATCCCAGTCCCCTATATAGCTGGCACGCGTTCCAAATAATATCTTGGTAACAAAAGAGGGAGGAGTATTTCTCGGGTGACTTCTCTCCAATCACACTGGCTAAAATGGAAAAAGCCCTCATCCAATTCCCGGAAGTCTTCGGGATTTTACTAAAATGGAAACGCAAAACCTGTACCACTCTGACCCCAAACACACTGCTAAAGCAACACTTGAGTGGTTTAAGGGGAAACATGTAAATGTGTTGGAATGGCCTAGTCAAAGCCCAGACATCAATCCAATAGAAAATCTGTGGTCAGACTTAAAGATTGCTGTTCACAAGTGCAAACCATCCAACTTGAAGGAGCTGGAGCAGTTTTGCAAGGAGGAATGGGAAAAAATCCCAGGGGTAAGATGTGGCAAGCTCAGAGACTTATCCAAAGCGACTTGGAGCTGCGATTGTCGCAAAAGTGAGCGTAGGAGCTGGGGGCCTGCTTCGCCCCCCTGCCCCAGTATTACTCATGGCCGCAATACGCCCGGCCCTAGTAAGCGTAGTAGCTGGGGAGGCTAGAGCACTGTGGGGAGCCATCCCACAGCTCGCAGTCGCATAGGGGCTGGTCCGGGAGCATGAACCAAGGCTCCACCCCCTAGCCTGGTCCTCTCGAGATGGATTAAAACGGACAGGGTGGCACCGGATGCCATGACCACCGGCGAGGGAGGCAGCAAACACGGCGGCACCCTGCAGATGCTCCATCGGAGCCTGCATGTGCCAGCCACGATCC